ACGGGTTAACCCAAGCCTTATGAGTGAAATTGGGTAGACAGAACCTTGGGTGCCGTCGATAGCTGTGCTAGCACAAAATCACAAGTCATCGTGACTGAGGGCTTCAACGTGCTGGCCTTGTTCAAATTGTTGATCACACTAGATAACATGCTCTTTCCCAGAAACTGTAACTAAGGTCTGCTCAGCATGTTTGCAGTATAAACCACAGTTTGGCTCTGTGGGTGTTGAACAAAAAACACAAATCTGCCTGAGAAAGTGTCTGCAATAGGGATGGGCTAGCCGCCCTAGTAGACAGGTATCCCCGAATACGAGTGGCCAGCTATAAATACATACATACCAGTCAGGTTTATCTTAGATTTAATTAATCTTTAGAGAATCTCAAGAACAGTTTGATGAACCTCTTCACAACTCAAGGATTTCGTTAAAGTTTCTAATATCTTGAGAATTATGGCCCGCCGTTTTTTGGGCATAATATAACAGGGTGCTTGGTTCATGTTATTGACTTAGCCCTTCAATAATCTAAACTTGTATCGAATACCGAATTTTTACAACAGGTATTCTCCATCTAAAACTATTTCTTCAGAGCGCTTATTTTCTGTTGTTTTTTTGTTTTGTTTTTACTAATGTTCACCGTATACAAGACCCAAGAGCACTCAAGGTAGAGAGTTACTGAAAGCAATTATTGCGTGAACAGTAAGAGTAAAGGACGTAGTTTAGGATATGTGTGAAAGATAATTGTTATCCATAGAAGAGGTTACGATTATAGTTGTCGGGAAAGCAAGGTCTTGGGATACTGTTCTCCAAAGCAACAGTTCTTGGAAAGAAGCCTTTTTTAAGTGATCGATCCTCACATGGTGCCCTACTAATGGTAGTCTCTAAAAAAATTCTTCTCTGGGTTCACCGTCCGCTACTTTTAAAATCCTCACACAGTTACCAGACCATATATGACATAATATTCCATGCAAGGAAAGATGGTTGATTTGCAAATTTGAAGGATAGACTCAGACGGGAAAAACTTTCTGGCACGGCACAGAAAACTAACTTTCCTTGCGGTAGATGAAGATATTGGTCCAATGTATTTATTCCACCTCATGTTACCCGACAGCGTGAGACCAAGCAGGCGTAACGAGGCGCTCTCGAGGAGTTGAGCATCAGCTTTTCTGATGGGAGGCAACTGTACGTCTCGAGGTCCTCGACAAAATCCAGAGACGAATATGCAATGCGATAGGCCCTGATCTAGCATCTGGTCTACAGTCGCTTTCTCACAGATGTGTCGCGGCTTCCCACTGTCTCTTTCACGAGTATTTTCACGGCAACTGTTCCGACTAGCTACTTTCGTTGGTTCCTAGACTTTATGAATTTAAGCGAGCTACTATGTTGGCATCTGGATCGCACTCTTTCACTATCAAAACGGTTAAATGTAACCGCCTCTTCTATTCAAATAGCTTCTTCACTCACACTTTCCGTCTGTGGAACTTACTTCTCCTTACTTGCTTCCACGATAACTATCACCTTGAAATATTCAAGTGTAATGTCAATCGACATCTGATACCTTAATCTTGTTCCCCGTACTTCTCTCTATACTTTCCTCAAACACGCTTCTTTACTCTTTTTCTCAGTTCTCTGTAACCCCTTGCGTACTAGCGGCACTCCCGCCTTGCTTGGGGTGAATTGCTTAAAAAAATGTTTCTAGAGTTAATAACTAGGTTTGAATGATCTAAAGGGTAATGGATAGACATGCGGGTGGCTTCATGTTTAACAGAAGCGGAGCATGCAATCGGCAAACAGAGTTCAAATTCCGGCTCTGGCAGTTTGTGTTCACTTCAAACTATATGCCCTTGGGAAAAGAATTTCTCCACTTCCCCCTCGTACGTAATTTATGCGTAAATAATAAGTTGTATCTTTTGAGACAATTAATCTTGAACATGTAATTTTTTTTTTTAATTTTTTTCTATTGCTACAGAAAATGTCTGGATCTCTATAGATCACTCGAGAAATTAAAACAAAAACATAACTCCCCCCTTTCTTTCACTATGTTCTGCTGTCAGCATAAATGTAGATGTTTCGATTTCAGCGCCACAAGTGCAGATAAAAGGAATACTGTCGTCATCGTAGTCGTGTACGCTATCAGGCTTGTCAGGGTAACTGTAGTAGTTGTAAAACAAGAAAGAAAGGCGGCAAATATAATTGATGAGAGAGAAGAAGTGACTTCATGAATGATCGTACGAAAGAGGAAGGAGGAATGAAGAAGCATTAATAGTAGCAGTAAAGACGATCTACTAAAATGAATGAGAAAAGAGAAAAATGACTAAAAAGAGGAAAGGGAGAGTAAGAAAAGGAATGGGAGGGGGAGAGAAAGAAAGAAAGAATGACAACAGAAATTACAAAATAGACATAAGAAAAAAAAGGTTCATTTACTAAGCGAAGGTAGAAGTCCACACTGATGGAATCCCAGCTCGAACTCAGTACTAACGATTAAGCAGTGTAGCTCGCTAAGTATTACAACACACATGTCAAGAGGTCCAGGTGATGATGAATATTTAGAAAGTGATTATTTTCAAAGTTTGACACAAGGCAACAATAACAATGTAATCATTACGCTAGGGAATAAAGTTAATAATTACGGTAGGCGTCACCATATATATAGAGTGTAACCCGGATATAAGAGAAACCCGGATATAAGAGAGATTTTCTCTGGTCTCAAATTAGATCCTGTGTTAATGTATATAAAATAGACCAAACCCGGATATAAGAGAAACCCGGATATAAGAGACTTCTTCTCCGGTCCCGACAACTCTCTTATATCCGGGTTACACTGTATATTTATATATATATATATATATATATATATATATATATAAAGATGAAGAAATATAGTCTTAAGGTGTGCTATATTTATGGGATAAAGTACTCAATATCAGAGATAGAGCGTATGTAAATATAAATATAAAAGTGAACATTAAAGTCAACACTCGGAGGCGACAGGCTGTTTCATGCTAGACACAATCGTCAGGCTGCTCAATTGCTTCTAGCATTAAACATCCTGTCGCCTCTGAGTGTTGATATATATATATATAATTATTTTTTATAAAAAAATTATAACATAAGTATGTTATAAAATCGCTACAAAATAGCCTGTTTTGTAGTGATTTTATAACATACTTATGTTATAATTTTTTTATGAAAAATAATTATATCTGCTCTACTTTGTATTGAGCACTCTTTTAAGAATAGTAATTGTTGGTTATTGGAATTCATTCCGTATATACCAATTATATACTTATATATATATATATATATTTATATATATATATATATATATATATATAAACTAAGTCTGGTACAAAGTTCTGCTCGTAGAGCGCCCGATGGAGAACTAATGCACTAAAAACGCTAAACTAAATTATTTGAATTAAATATTTACTAAGCTTAGTAATGATCTCACTGAAGGAGATATATGTTGTAAAGTTTCATCTGGCTCAAGATCTCAACCATGGATTACTCATTAAACATCAAACGCGTAAGGAACGAATAAACTTATTCATCATCACTCTATGATAAGCAAAATGATATATTTACAAGTCTTATTGTCTATAATCTATTCTGACAAAAAAGCTTTAATCCTGGTGAGGATCGAATTCACTTGATGATATCTCAAATATCCGGAGTTCATAACATGAGAAGAAACACCTCGCCGTGAAGCAGTGTCTTCAGCCTAGATATAGTGATGTAGTGAGTTCGAACCCTAGCTGATTCACAACTCTGGCTTAAAACATGTTTTAAAAAAAAACTGTGTTCATGTAATATAAAAAAAAAGACAGAGATAAATAGAAGAAAGACAAGAAGAAAGAAAGGAAGAAAGAAAGAAAGAACGAGAAGCGCGAAAGAAAAAAAAAGGAAATACAAAAGAAAGAAAAGAAGAAAAAAGGAAAAAAACTGGAAAGAAAGGAAGAAAGAAAAAACAAAACAAAATAAATAAAAGAAAGAAAAGAAAGGGAAAAAAAAAAGAAAAGAAAAGTTTAATAGATTTAATATATATATATATATATATATATATATATATATATTTAAATTTATATATATATATTTAAATTTATATATATATATATATATATATATATATATATATATATATTTACATTTATATATATATATATTTAATTTATATATATATATATATATATATATATATATATATATATATATATAATGTTTATATATATATACATCAGAATAGATAAATAAATACGTAACTATGATTATTTTGAAATAAGTTTGCCACATTCACTATATATATATATATATATATATATATATATATATATATATATATATATATATATATATTGAACAATAAAAACTTAAAAATAAAAAATCTTCAGACGCACTGGGTTGTAGATTAATATTCTTTGGGTTTTTTTATTATTATTTTATTTAGATTCCTCGACTAGTTCGGGCAAAATGGCCATCATTGGGAGAAGAAATATTTCTGCTTACTGGTAGCAATGAACTACAGAAAAAATATATATAAAAATATATATATATATATATATATATATATATATATATATATATATATATATATATATCTGAGGTTTAATATGAAAGATGTAAATTTTATTTATATGGAAAAAATTTTACAAGTATTTTAGATTTTACGCATAAACAAAGTATCTGTCAACTCAACACGAATCGACATTCCTGAACTTTGTTGCTGTAACTCGTATGTCATCCTGCGAAGCCGCTTTTGTTGGGCGTAATCCTTACCCAGATACATGCGGAGGAATGGGCGATTGTCCTACAACGCTGGCCTATGTGTCTTGTTAGGGGCGGGTGTGATATGCTTGGACGACCATGACTCTTTCCGAGTCATGACCGCGCAAAGATATTTGCGCATAAATGAATGTAAAGAAACCAAGACTGAAATTCGAACTCGACTAGACTCGTTTCCTCATTGCGAGACATCATCCATTGTTCCAGCCATTCATCGCACATACAAGCATACAGTCCCTGGTATTCCCAAGCTATCACATACCTAAGTACTGACCAGGATTCACTTTGCTTAACTTTGGTGATCGGATGAGAACCGATGTTACAACATGCCATGGCCTCC